TGCCCATCAAATAGATAAGCCAGAGTTCTTTAGCTTTCGACCTAGTAGGGACATGATGCCTGGCCGACTTGGCTGTGCTCATTGCCTGAGCTGCTTCACGACTGAGGCTGCCCTGAAACTGCACTACCAACGTGCCACGTGCCCAGCATTGTTGATCGAATGGGTCAAAGACATGCACTTTGGACCTGCTGACCTGACAGATCACTCCAATATGACCATGTCCAAGTCTGACATGCCACTGCTTGCAAACGACCCGCCTGAGCAAGTCATTGACAAGCCCGTCATGGCATCGATTGCTGATTCGCCATGCACAGGGTCCAGCCCCTGTGGATTGCAATTGCCACATGATACGCCAGTTTGGCACTCCACGCTGACTCATGATTTTTGTGCGCCTCCTATGAACTGTCAGCCCAGTGTTGTTGTACCAACACCACTTCAGTTTGGACCTGAACACAGATTGAGCTGGTATGTTCACGTCACGCCCTGGTTGGCTCACTTCACGGCACTCCCGCAGATTCAGATTGAGAATGCCGTGCCACTCAACCTGCTTCATGTTTGCACCCGAATACATCCCATCTTTTGGGCGTGGACCTCAGACGAACTTGAGCCATTCCATCCTGACCGCGTTCACGTGCATGACGGTTTGGATCTTCAACACCTTTTGTTTCAGACATGTCTCTTCGAACTTGAACACGTCCTGGCCCAAGACTGGTATCATTGGTGCCTACACCAGGGTCTGCAGGATGGACCATATGAAAGAAGAAGATCAATTTTTTTCAGACCTGATGGAGGTGTGTTCCGGTCACTTCAAACGGCAACGACCCAACGAGGAGGAACCCTCATCCGGTCAGCAACGCTTCCGATCCGGACAGAGGAGGTCATCGCACTCATCGGGTTCGGGCTCGGTCGACGATTCCACTCTATTGGGTATGTTGGCCAGACTGACTTTGAGGCAAGAAGATCAACTGAACCAATTGAACCTCGATCGTATTTTCCTTTTGTTCATCCAGGCCGGCAAGAGTTCGATCCTCCCGCAGATTCTTCAGATCTCGAAGACCTGGCATGGCCAACGCGAGCAAGGCAAGGTAGATCGCCCGCTCCGTCAGTTGATGTTTCAGTCGGTGTTCGAAGAACTTGCAAGCAGAGCTGCACAGCTTCCATTAGGGTCAAACGACCACGAATTGATCCTGGCCCTCCGGTCCAAACAGATCTTGACATCCACGAATGTTTGGAACTATCTTCAATGGGACCATCAGGAAAAGACATTGAAGCCGTCGACCCGAGATCCGATCTCCTCCGAGGAAGCCTCCAAGATGATCGAACGCATCCACACGCTTGCGAACCAGCCGGAGCTGATCCATCGGTTCACGGCGTTGAAACCGATGCCTTCGGACCAAGTGGGTCCCACATCCAATGTGGTGATTCCTTGGAGATTCGACATCTCCCTCAGGAGTTCGGCCAGCCAAGAACTGTTCGACCTACTGACCAAGCTCACAGGCAATGGTCTCACACAGCTGATTGCAGTTCGGCTTCGACCCTCGACATTGCAACGATCACCCTTGGCGCAAGCGGTGGCCCGGACCCTCAAAAGATGAGGACCATGCTGTTGGAGATGAGCCTGGGCAATGATGCCAACGATTGCTTCATGATCACCGCTTTGATCGGGGAACTTTGGGCCTGTTGTATGGACAACACCTTTTCTTGGGAGATGTTTGGCACTTGGAAGGAGCCACTCATTCGGCTGCTGGACCGGGGACCCAGTTCACTGTGGCTCACTGACCCCAGCTGTTTGGGAACGTTGCTTGATGGCTGGTTCGCTTCACATGCCATGGGGGCTCAGCACGGTGTGGCTGAATTCTTAGGATGACTTAGGCTCACTATGCACCGTCCGCTTTTTGAGAAGGCTTCGCAGGCACCTCGCTGGGAGGCTCGTTTTGAAGACACTATCGAGGACTGGGGCTGGACCTGCTCGCCTATCGTCATGAGAGAAGAAAAGCCCGCCGGATGCACACTGCAAGAACTTGTTCACATGTGGCACACCCAACCCCCGTACTGCCTAGGGCTAGTTGGCTCCGCTACCACAGTTTGCTTGCAGATCAACCGATTTCCAGCACTTGGCATTCGTTCTAAGACCTTGGTAAGCTGGAACCGACAACATGTCATGATGCCGTGCTTCATGCATTCCTCCGGAAGGACGGTCAACTGGATTGAGTATCAGGTAGTTGCAGTTGCATTGCACCGAGGCCATGTAGCGACCACTGGCCACTATCAATGCCTCCTCCACACCGGGGGCGGCAGATTTCTGTATGATGATGATCGAGTACCCATCTCTGTCCCACACTTGACAGCAATGGATGAAGACATTTACGTTGTTTGGCTGACACGGACAGACAACTTGACAGATGCATACCGTACAGTGGTCACCCGACCAAACCCGTTCGTGCCACTTTTTCGCGCTTGAATGATGCCAGAGCCGCCCGGGCTAGCTGTCCTCGAGACCGCCGATTGACAGACCACTGTCGATTGCTCGCCCAACACGGGCGGATTCGCTCCGCCGGTCGTGAATGAATGAATAAGAATTGTTTAAAATAAGATATATTCTGAATAATATATTATAGATTTTTATTATGTATGATCTATGATATGGTTTATTTTTTTTAAATATATTATTTATTTGTTGTTGTATTTTTTATATGTTTCGTTAATATTGTTATTTTGTATTCGTGCGGCATATAATTTAATTTAATATTATTATTAATAGAAACAACGATTATGTTTTCCGATATAATTTATATATTGTTTTAATATTTATATGATAAATGGAAACTTATTATTGGAATTGGGTAATTAGAACCGATTATTGCATTATTGGAGCCGTCGTTTTCGTAATTTCTTTCTATATCGTACGCACGTTGATCGTCTTAAGAACGATGGAGATGATTAGGAAATCGAGACCATTTATTTCCTAAATAGATCTTTATACCGAATGATATAGGAATTATATTGGCGGTATCCATTTATTATATTTAAAATATCTATTAAAAGGGATGTGGAAATGGAAAATCTAACAAGCCACTATGCAAAATGAACAACATTAATCTTAGGACCGATTTACGCATGATGACCCCGACCAAAACAATTAAGAGAGAAATGATTATTGAGGTATCTTCTTGACGAAGGATTAGGCGGCCAAGTATCTGTAATATCTGCATAAGATCCCCATCTTTATTATCTGATGTATTCACCGATGAATCGAATTTTATTTTCGTTGTTTCCGGCCAATCCTGTCAGGACCAATGGATGATGTCTCGTGGCGTGGCCGTTTGAACCCTTCCTCATATTTGGTTCATTGCATTTGATGGGATCGAAGAAACATGAAATCGATACGTATCGAATGCGTATCGTAGGCAAAAAATGGGAATCCATTTGCCCCGGCAATGGGGCGTAAAGAGATTAAGCTCCTAAATTAGGGATTGAAACTCATGTCTATCGGTCTGAGCCGCCTGGCCAAATTTGTTATCATATGAACCAATGGCTGGTGGGGCTGCAATCACAGATGTGTTGTAATCATCTGCCAGCAATAATATGTGGCTCCTGGGTACATGTTGGATGGCATCTCTAAGAGTCTTCAAAATTTTGGTTCTGTCCTGAATCAAAATTATTCTGGATTTAATGGTATTCCAAGCAAATTGATACAAATTAAATCCATCATGAAATTGGGTCAAGTGCAATCTAATGTGCTGGAGGCGGCCTGGTATAAGGTCAATTATAATCAATAAGCCGGTCGTAGAAGGTCAATTCTAACCATGCAAAGGGTCGAAGCCCTAGAAGCATAGCTGCGTATCATGTATCAGCCAGGTGCCGTCCAGCGATTGTTGAATGTCCATCCGGTCTCTTGTAGCAGAATCAACTCAAACGGTTAGGAAGAGCACCAGGTCATCCATTCATCCAATTGCAAACCTTGGGATGTATTCCAGCAGAACATACGGATAGCCTCAGAGGGTGATGAATGCATAGGCTGTTGCTTGGAGCGCTAATCAGGTCGGTGGCGCAGGTCAACCATAATCATCTGTTTCATTTTGAATGGAACCATTGAAGGTCAAAGTTCTTTGCTTCGGTATTGTGGGCAACCATATATAAGTGCTCTTCTTCAAGTTCTCTTAAAACTGCGTTTAATGTGCCGGCATCGAGATGGGTCTTGCATGTCGTCGGAGCCAACTAGCGCCCATACCTCGTTAATGTTCGTGTCAATCCTAGATATCGTGGAAATGATTTTAATATTCTAGTCACAAGACGACCTTCTATAACAAAGACGTAAGAATGGCAAATATAAACGATAAATGAAAAGAAATGCAATTAAAATCTTATAAAAATTATCTTTTATATACCGTAATTATTCATAAATATAAAAATCCTAGAGAAATAGCTATACGAATCTAAATTAATAATAATATTTAAATTAAATATATAAATATATTTAAATTTATTATATCATAACTTAATATTTAATAATCAAATATTATTTTAAAAAATATAATTTAAAAATAATTTTAAACATAAATTATATATATTATTATAGAATTTAAAAAACATATTCATAATAATAATTAAATATATTTTATAATAGCAATATAATAAAATACATTTATATAATCGAAATCCTTAACCATATTAAAATAATAGTTTTTTTAAAAAATATTATTTTTATAATATATATATTATAATTTATATATATTAATATATCAAATCATAATCGATATATATATATATCTAAAATATATATTAGTTTAATTCCATAAAAACAAATATATCTATAAATTAAATATCCTTAATAGAATATTGAATTATTATTAATATAAAAACCAATTTATTTAAAATATATAAATAGATTATTTTTAATATTAAACAATCAAATATATTATATCAAATGAAAATCAAATAGAATCAAATAGAATATTTTAGGATATTTATTATATATATGTATTTCTATGATTTTTTTTTTTCGGGTTTGGTTTAGCATGCACATGCTTGCCTTAGAATTCTGATGAAATCTGAATAAATTGTATCGACATATGTATATATATAATTGGACATTGAATGAGTCTGAAGGAAAGGTTGATTTGTAGAAGTGCAAAGAAATCCATTGTTTCATTGCGAAGCCGCACATCAACAGCAAGCACAGATAGGCTCAGCTATATACACTTTTCACATTCATATCAAGCCCAATTAAATTGCCTTGTGGTCAAAACAATCAAAACCCTGTTTGGAGAGAAGCCATGCTAGAAACGCAATGGGAAGCTGCAAAAAAGCTTGCGCTGCTCTCTGGTTCATGCTAGGCCTCCGTGCTTCTCCCGGAGGAATTGGCTGTGAGCTTGCATATTCGAGCTCAAAGCTTCCTGCCTCACATGCCACATTATGCAACAGTAGAAGGAAGTTGAAGGTAAATGCTTTCATTGAGGTTCTTGGGATCCTGTCTTCTCCATATTGATACCCGGACAGCAGCAATTTCTCTTAGACCGATGTTGGCCAAAGAACCAGAAAGGGCCCAAAGTACATAGCCCAATCGCTCAAGTGGATTTGTCTTCATTCATTACAGTATAAAATTGAAGGTATGCTTTTGTAAATGATTTTAAGAACAATCATTGAACACTTCATCCAAGAGAATAATCACATGCACTCAATCTATGAAATACAAATGATATCTGATATCAAATAAATACATTCAATCTACATATACATTCATTCTAGATTACAACAATCAGCCCCATCCAACAACGCTCCCTCACCCTGTGGACCGGGCTCTTCGGCGGAATATTCTGGTTTTGGTTGGTAGGTGACCAAGCAAACCTCAGGTGGTCTACGTGTGCCAAATGCGGTCTACGTCGGCCTCTGGCCGCATCCTCCAGGTACGCTCAAGAAAAAAAATAGTGGCGATTGGTTCGACAAGAAGCATTAATGATGCACTTGAACATGACCAATTGAACACATCCAAACAAATCAACCACAATTCTCTCAATGTGCTCAACTTGCATTCGGCTTCGGCTTTGTGTCCTTGGACTCGGGCCACAATGCCGCAGGCCAGGATCAGCGCTGACCTGAGATGGGATTTTCAGTGCATCATCTACTCCATTCTACTCTTCATACAAAACACGTTTGCCTATGTATGGAAATATGGGCCATTTCATGCCATTTCTCCACGCTTGCATTGGGCCGTTATGTGATGCACCAGGTTCGTTCCACAATTTCCATGGTTCTTTTGCATGCACCAAACAAAGTGTAGTACATACAGTACTCAAGCATGCGTTGCTTCTTTGGTGTCAAAGCAAAAGTCTGCTGCAATCCATCCAATTTGGAACTGACCAACTCATACAGCCTGCAGTAAGCTCCGCACGTGGCCACGATTACGGGCCTTGCTAATGCGGCCAGCTGGTGATAAACTGTTTTCAACACTCCTTCGATGGGGCCGGGGTGTGTTACCATTAAACTTAAGGACAGAATCCTTCTGGATCCTTTTGGGATGCAATATGGTTTCACATTTGATGCGGATATAAAAGAACCGCTGCTTGGATCAACAGGAACAAGTACCTTGCCCGCTACACGGTATGTTGTTGTGGTGGCACGACAACCAACGACATGGGGGGCAACTCGCTTGACCAAATAGTAAGTTCAAACACCTACAACAAGGATTGTTGTTGTATGGCAGATTCTGGTGATAGAATCTCTGTGATAATCTGACATGAAATATTTGGCAATATTTGGCATGTATATACAGTAATGTACACATATTTTGCAACCAAAGAAACTTGGGGACTAACCCAATCCTAAGGAAGAAGTGGGACCGGTAAGGTCGAGCATCTGGATGACTGGCTTTGTCCAAGGTTGTTTGACACAAAACTTACATAGTACACCAGTTGTCACCGAGTCCTGCAGACTTGGAGTTGCATGTCCTGTTGCTGTAAACTCCGCAGAAGAGCGATCAAACACACAGCAATGCAACACATCTCGTTATGCTCGTACCAGTTTCCTGTCGTGGCTGCAATGGTATCTTCAAAACCATGCCCAGCATGGGCTACATGGATGACTCTTCTCTAAAGTGGCTTTTGGAAGCTTGCTTTGACTCACAGCATGTCTATCCAAGCTCAGGGCAGTAAAACGGTGTCCCCAGCCAAGGTGGCATCCTCACCCTGCGGACATATTTATGCGTGCGACCCAACACCGAGAGCGGCCAAGAAACTCTTCAAAAAAACACACACACACATATACATATATACATATATATAATATTATGTTTGAAGTAATCCTTCTTCATCCTTCTTCCATATCATGTGATACCAAACTTGAATCGATCATAGTCTCGAAGCTTCCAACAAAGGACAACTCTAACCCTACTTGAGTGACCCAGGCATGGCACACTTTGCTACACGAAAAAGGTATCAGTTGTAAATCCTAACTGTTGTTTTGGAACTGCTTCTGATGAGCACCGGCTGCTTTGGTCATTTGCGATCTGCTCAACGTTGGTGTCATCGATTTGGGATTGCTCTTTCCAATCGATACATTGATACATGGACACTCTGCAGTATCCCACTCGACAAATATGTCAATGGTGGAATCAATCTCAATCGGTTTACTTTTGAGGGTCCCTGTCAATCGCATTTTTGTTCCCTGGCTAATTCCAATGTTTGACAACAACCACTCCCCTTGCTTAAACTAAAATCCGAGCATGACGTTGCTCGTGTGCCGCATAGACTCTTTGACACTCTGAACCTGAGTAGACATTGGACACCCAGCAAAAAGGCCATTGGTCTTGTAGCGCTGTTTTCCCTTGCACGCAAGGAACACCTGCAACACATTGCAACACAATTCTACTGTAGTTTAATCTCCAATCATGTTGTTCTGACATGCTGCAGATCGGTTTCACATTGCTACATTGCCCTGCCATTGAACCACCAACGTCTCAACAGCCCATCACGTCATGTCCTTCACATTCTGCATGTTGTCCAATTTCAGCAGTTGCGCCCTCTCTGCCTGTGTCTGCAGCAGCTGGGGGTCCTCACGTGCACGATAGGTTCAAAGTAAGTGAGGTGAGGATAATGCCAACTCATCAAACAATCCTGCCTCCTGCAGGATTCGGTGTGAATTGGTCCATCACAATTTGGTGTTGCCAAGCTTCAACTATGCCAAATATGAATCCGCTGCACACAGTGCGAAGGAATAACATGGAAAGGAACAAAACCCAAATGGTGAACCAACAGAACCTAAGCGTTTGTGCGTCACATCGGATCCGAAGCCTCTAGTAGCATTCTTGCTCCTAGTAGGAAGGCCAGGAGCCCCTAGTAGCATTCTTGCTCCTAGTAGGAAGGCCAGGAGCCCCTAGTAGCATCCTTGCCCCTAGTAGCGATGCCAGGAGCCCCTCAGTAGCATTCTTGCTCCTAGTAGGAAGGCCAGGAGCCCCTAGTAGCATCCTTGCCCCTAGTAGCGATGCCAGGAGCCCCTCAGTAGCATTCTTGCTTTTAGTAGTAAGGCCAGGAGCCCTGGGAATGGGAAGCTGCGACACGTGTACCCGGCACACTGATAGAGAGACTTTCAACAGCATTGTTCCCACGCGCAAGCATCCTTGCCCAGGAGCCCCTCAGTAGCATTCTTGCTCCTAGTAGTAAGGCCAGGAGCCCCTAGTAGCATCCGATGCGAGGAGCCCCTCAGTAGCATTCTTGCTCCTAGTAGTAAGGCCAGGAGCCCCTAGTAGCATCCTTGCCCCTAGTAGCGATGCCAGGAGCCCCTAGTAGCCTTCTTGCTCCTAGTAGTAAGGCCAGGAGCCCCTAGTAGATCCTAGTAGCATCCTTGCCCCTAGTAGCGATGCCAGGAGCCCGTCAGTAGCATACTTGCTCCTCGTAGTAAGGCCAGGAGCCCCTAGTAGCATCCTTGCCCCTAGTAGCGATTTCTTGCTCCTAGTAGAAAGGCCAGGAGCCCCTAGTAGATCCTAGTAGCGTCCTTGCCCCGATGCCAGGAGCTCCTAGTAGCATTCTTGCTCCTAGTAGTAAGGCCAGGAGCCCCTAGTAGATCCTAGTAGCGTCCTTGCCCCTAGTAGCGATGCCAGGAGCCCCAGTAGTAAGGCCAGGATCCCCTAGTAGCGTCCTTGCTTATAGTAGCGATGCCAGGAGCCCCTCAGTAGCATTCTTGCTCCTACTAGTAAGGCCAGGAGCCCCTAGTAGCATCCTTGCCCCTAGCGATGCCAGGAGCCCCTAGTAGCCTTCTTGCTCCTAGTAGTAAGGCCAGGAGCCCCTAGTAGTTCCTAGTAGCGTCCTTGCCCCTAGTAGCGATGCCATAGGCATTCTTGCTCCTAGTAGTAAGGCCAGGAGCCCCTAGTAGCATCCTTGCCCCCACTACCAATGCCAGGAGCCCCTAGTAGCCTTCTTGCTCCTAGTAGTAAGGCCAGGAGCCCCTAGCAGCATCCTTGCCCCTAGTAGCGATGCCAGGAGCCCCAAGTAGCCTTCTTGCTCCTAGTAGTAAGGCCAGGAGCCCCTAGTAGCG